CCTTCCTTCCTTCCTTCCTTCCTTCCTTCCTTCCTTCCTTCCTTCCTCCCTCCCTCCCTCCCTTTCTCTCTCTCTCTCTCTCTTTTGCAGGCAGAAGTAGGTCAAAACAGGCCCGATGATGATAGCCCCAAGCTGACAGCAACGTAAGTGCCAGCAACCAAGAAATGAATAATGAGATGTGGTATACATATGCAAAAGGATGCTCTTCAACCATCTACAGGCGTGCAGAACTGACACACGCTACAAGCCTGGATGTTGAAGCAATGAAGCTAAGTAACAGAAGCTGAACAACAAAGGGCCACGTGTTGTATGACGCCATTGATATGCAATGTCTAAAACAGAAAAATCTGGAGGGAAAAAATTAGGGGCTGCCAGAAGCCAAGGGGACTGCTAATGGGCCTAGGAAGTTTTAGAGAATGACAGGTATGTTTCAGGGTTAAACTGTGACGATATCTGTTCAATTTTGTAAACACTTTTAAAAAAAATCACAAAATTACATACTTTCAGTGGATGGATTCTATGGTTTATGAATTATATCCCAATTTGAAAACCAGAAAGTCACAGTTGCTAAAGGATGGGCAGAAGACACCATAGACAGTGATGCTGCCAGGGCCTTTGGCTACTTTAATGTTTGAGAAACAATACTATCTCCAAGGAGATGGAAAAACAGCTCTCTCAGCGCTTGGCCTGAGGGGCCAGGGGCTCTCTTGGCTTTCATCAATCAAATTCTTATGTCAAGGTGGGTCCTAAAATTCCCAATTACTCTCTCTAGCAATAATTTCATGTGATGCTAATGATGGCAGTAACAATGGCCAACATGTACATCTGAGCCACCTTGTGCCACACTCTGTCCTAAGCCCTGAGCCCTGCAGAGAGCATCAAACAGGAACATTCAGTGCAGGAGATCAGTGCCATGATCTCCTTTGCACAGAGGTGCACAAGGAAGCAGTAAGATAACCAAACTGAGGCCACCAGTAGGTGCGGACCTTGGACGATGAAGCCAGCTAGAAACCATGTTTCTGGTTCTTGTGCTGCCTTCCAGCTATAGCTGAGGGCTAGCCTGGATGGCTCCAAACAGGGATGCTACTGGGATGTTCCTCTTCCCCGAGTTCTGTCCCTGTCTGTGCCAGCCTAGGAGCTTGCAGTCTGTTTCCTGCTCAGTCCGCCACATTCCTGCTCCCCACCCCGGTAACAACATACCCAATGCATCCCTCCAGTTCTACACCCTCCACAAATATGCTTCCAGCTGGCACTGGCTACTGTGTCCTTTCTTGGGAGAGGCTTTTTGGGGTGAGACTAGAGGCAGAGAGTTAGGCTCTGAGCACGGAGGAAGGCTGGGAACCTGTGACTCCTCCCTCTTACATGCCGTGTTCCAACTCCCACCCACCTAGCCCTTCCGAGCAGCCAGGTGGCCATCCTGTGAGGCTCTAAGACCTCACAGAGCTGAACACTCACCTCGGTGCTGACCGCTTCATCCGAAGGGTTGATCAGAACTACTGTTTCTAAGATGTCACTTCGGTGATGTAGGATCTTTTGTCCTGAAGGCACACACACAAAAAAAAATACACAAAGAAAAGAACTTTAGCTTTTCCAGATGAAAGCTGCTCGCCTGTTACTCAGACAGCAGAGGAATTTCCAACTCAGATGTGGCCCTGGAAACTGGGAAACACAGTGGGTGCTCCTGAGCAGGAGTGGGTACACAGAACAGGCTGAACCCAGAGCTGAGTTAGTGTAACCTGGGGCCGCCTGGCTCTCACACTGGGTCTTTCATGGTCGCTGGTTAGGCAGCCTCCTGACCAAATGGCGGGGAATTTTATCTGAGACCAGGGAGGGATGCCAGGAAAACTCAACGGGCTCTTGACATTTCCTTTCTCATGGTAATTGGGGATGTTTCTCCCTAACGGCCTTTCTTCTGGTGAGAACTGCTTGGAGATTAATTAGGAGCCTCATTGTGAAATGAATGACGGCCAGAAACCCAGCTAACAATTAACCCAGCAGCCAGAATGGCTGTCTGAGGCAGGCTCATGGTCTGTTGGGGTGTTCACTAATTAATTCACTTGCTTGTAGAAAAATGAAGAAACTGTGGGCAAATGAGAAGTGGAGGGCAACCGTCCCACAGGGCAGGGTGGCCAAATTGCCCCACCCCAAGACAAAATTGATGGAGAACAAAAAAGCAAGGTGTGGTTTGGGATGAGGGAGCTTGCTTATGTGTCTGCAGGGCTTTGATACCTACTCCTTATAGTACCATCCTGTGGCTAATCAGCCACCGGTATAAGTCAGCAGAGACCTATCGACGGCCTTCTACAAATACTACCCTGCCTTGACAAGGAGATGAAAGCCTTCCTGTGAATGTGGCCAGAGTCACTGATGTATGCTCTACCAGCAAACAAGGGACAGAGAGGGGTGTTCCGTTGAAAATGTGTGAGGAGGCCACGTGGTCGGGAGGGAGGACATGCCTTCTGTTTGGAAGTACAATGAAGCTTGGAAGACAGAAAAACAGAAGAGAATCTGAGGGAAATATCAACAGAGAAAAAAACACAGAAGGAAAATAGATTAGAGATCTTCAAAAAGCTAAAAAAGAATCACGTATGACCCTGCCATTCCATTTATGGGTGCAAAGTGAAAGCAGAAATTTGAACTAATATTTTTATGCCAGTGTTAATTACAGTATTATTTTAATAGCCAAAAGGTAAAACAACTCAAGGCTATGTCTGTAGGTCATTGGATAAGATGTGGTCTTCTCACAATGGAATACTAGTCAGGCACAGAAAAAAAATGAAGCTCTGCTAATGTTACAAGGATGAACCTAGAACACACTACATTAAATGAAAAGAGATGGACACAAATGGAAAAATAAGATTTCATGTCTATTCAAATTCAAAATAGTAATTACCAGAGGTAATGAAAACATTTTAATAAAGAAAATAATAGTTTGTACAACCTCATGGATTTTGGGTTTTGGTTTTAAATTTTTTTTATATTACTTACAGTTTATTTACTTTGTATCCCAACTGTAGCCCCCTCCTCCCTCATCTCCTCCCATGCCCCTCTCCAAGTCCACTGACTGGGGAGATTCTCCTCCTCTTCCATGTAACCCTAGCCTATCAGGTCTCATCAGGACTGGCTGCATTGTCTTCCTCTGTGGCCTTGGCCTGGTAAGACTGTTCCCCATCAGGGGGAGATGATCAAAGAGCCAGCCACTGAGTTCATGTCAGAAACAGTACCTGTTCCCCTTACTAGAGAACCCACTTGGAGACTGAGCTGCCATGGGCTACATCTGTGCAGGGGTTCTAGGTTCCTCGTGGATTTGTAATGATCACTCCTGACTGAGTTGTGCATTTAAAAAATAGTTAAAAATGGCAAAATTTTTATTATACTTATTTTATCACAAAATAAAGAATTGATGTGACAGCCAAATAATCCCTGAAGAGAACACTTCATGTATGTGAGTGACATGCTATGGATATACATGATATGGCAGTTCCTCAGATAGAGTTTCCCTCTTTGTATTATCAAAGATCAAACAAAACAGAAACAGCCCCATAGCAACTTTTTCACCATGTCACCATTATCGATCATTCTTGCTCTCCCTAACAGTAGTATTTACCAGTAAACCCCAGTGAGGCATAGAAGCAGCCCAAACTAAACAATAGTGGTGGCAAGCCCTGTCCTGAGACGTATACAGTTTCATTCAGACCCCTTAAGAGCTCTCATATGTGGTCCCATGACCATCACCCACTCCCACGGAAGACAAAGAGTTGACAGAAGACAATGAGTAGCTCAGGACCCCACAACAAGTAAGTGGTCAAGTCAGGATCTGGCCGCAGGTTGCCTAGCTCTGGACCCCTTGAATTTTTCACTTCTATGACACTAGTTACCAAGACTTGGACTTGGTAAAACAGACATCAGATATTGAAGAAGAGCTAGGAGAAAGACCAACAGACCAAAACCAAAGATGTGCTTAAAGAACAAGATGTCAGCAGAGAATACCGGGTGGTCAGGTGGAGCAGAGAACTTATACAGAGCGAAGTAAAATTAAATGGAAGCTTGCTTTGTCCTGCTTTAAACAACCAGCGAAGAAGAAACTCCAAATAAGAACAGTGTTAACTGCCTGAGCAGACAAAGACCCGAGGCTTAGCAAAAAAATGCTAAACCGTGGAAAACATAGTTCATTTCTCATGAATGCTTTTTTTGTAATTAATTTAAAAACCGCTTTTTGGTTTTTTTGGTTGTTTTCCCATTTGACAACCATGCACAATTAAAGCTAAAGCAAACACAAATTCAAATAAGTAGATGATAAAGTGAAAAATCACACAAATCCATCCTTGATGGAGTGGTCTCTAAGTCCTTCCATCTGTGGCTTCCTTGGAACAAAGACTTCAGGATCTTTGAAGGAATGAACTTGAAGCAAGAAGCTTAAAACCAAGAAATGAGTGGCTATTTCTTCATCTTATCTTTGATGTGAGCACCCAGAGCACCAGACAGCATGAGATTGGGTATTATTGTTGTCATTAACTGTACTCTGTAGCAGTCACAGCAGCAAATTTAAGCAAGATTTGTAGAAGCACTGCCCTCCCTAAGAGTCCCCAACCCAACTGAGCCCTTTCTCCACTGCCCACAATGCTGTTGACTGCATCCATCAAAATCGACAACAGTCAACATGGTCACACTCTGCCCACACAGTTCAGCCCTCCCCAGAGAGGTCTCCAGCTGCTCCCTGTGAGGGGCTCCTTACCGTCCACCAGACATTCTCTTCCTCTTTGGCTTCCTCAGTTGCAAACAAAACAAACGCCAAATAACAGCTGCTGGTCACCTCCACTCTTCCTAAGTCGCTTTTCAAAACAGTCTGCCCAGGAATTCAGCTAATGAGGTCCTGTCCATCTTTGTAAGGACTCAGAGGAAAGACACTGACAGTGCGTGTGCACCAAGATGGCTTTCCATAGAGGTGATTTGAATAAAGGAAGGGATATAAAGACAGCCAGAGCACTTGAGCTCCTGTCTCCGCTGGAATGTCATCCCCATTCAACTGCAAGACTCAGAACCAAAGGTCGAACCTCCCCAGCATCTGGCAAGGCCAGGGACCTGGCTGAGAGACCTGTCAGATCCCCACATCCAGCACCCGTGGGTGCCTGCTCTCTGGCAGTAGGCAGCTGTCTGCTCAGGCAGCTGGGACGCTCACAAAGCTGCATATTTGGGGAATGTTTCACCCTGGGAAGAGGGCCAGGCATTCTGAGGGAGAAGCCACCACCCTTGCCTGTAAAGGTCCCATTCAGTTGCTTCAGAAAAGAAGTTCCCAGCCTTTCTCCCTCACCCTGTAGTCTGCTGTCCCCATAGATACCTCATAAAGAAACCAAGGGGCACTCCGTGAATAGTTAACCCTCCTCAGCTTTGTGGAGGCTGGACATGGAGTGATGGAGTTGTGTCACTCAGTTTCCATATAAAAAAAAATGTCTTTGAAGTCTTCCTTAAAAAATTCCACATGGCTGTGGGGCTTGACCTGGTGAGGTGGGGGCAACAGAGAAGGCTCCTGTGTAACAAAGGGTCTGCTCTACTTCAGAATCAAAAGATGATGAGGACCCCTGAAGCAGCGGGACCCTTCAGACAATGGGCTTTTGTCTGTGGTCTCCTAGAGCCGTATTTGAAATTCAAACAGTCCATACTTTGCAGTTATTGCTGGGATTTTTTTTTTTTTTTCGTTTTGAAAATCTGATTTAATTGGATCTATGTGTCTTTTGAAGTTGGGTTGTTTTGTTGGTTTATGTTTAACTATATCTAGGCGATTTTTGAAATCTTTTAAGGTAAAAACAGACATTTCCATGCTTTTAGGATAGTTAATGGATCTTTTGGGGGAGTTTAAGGTTTTCCTCTCAGTATGAGTGTAAGTCACAAAACACAAGTCCCTCTCCTGGGCTTCAGTGCTTGACTGTGGCTAAATTCAGGCACACTCATCACGGAAGTCAGCCACACAGAACCTCTGGTGGGATGTGGCTCAGCTTGTAGAACACTTCTCTGGCATACACTTAAGGCCTAGGTTTGACCTCAAGCACTGCATAAACTGGTCATGGTGTGCATGCCTGTAATCTTACCACTTCGGAGGTGGAGGCTAAGGATCAGAAGCTCAAGATCATCCTTGACCACATGTCAAAGTCAAAGCCAGTCTGGACTACACAAGACCCTGTCTCAAAAGGAAGGAAGGAGGGATGGAGGGAGGGAGGAAGGGAGGGAGGAGGGAGGGAGGGAGAGAGGGAGAGAAGGAGGGAGGAAGGGAGGGAGGGAGGGAAGGACAGAGGGAGGGAAGGAGGGAGGGAAGGAGGAGGGAGGGAAGGAGGGAGGGAAGGACAGAGGGAGGGAAGGAGGGAGGGAGGGAGGAGGGAGGGAAGAACAGAGGGAGGGAAGGAGGGAGGGAGGGAGGAGGGAGGGAAGGACAGAGGGAGGGAGGGAGGAGGGAGGGAGGGAAGGAGGGAGGGAAGGAGGGAGGGAGGGAGGAGGGAGGGAGGGAAGGAGAGAGGGAGGAAGGAGGGAAGGAAGGAAATCTGGA